CTGCTCTGGAGATAGGCCTCACAGTTCTTTCTGGAGATATGTTGTGGGATATTTCTCATTAAGGGAAAACTTGGCAGTCTTTGCAGAGCAATAATGAGAAGACTGTAGAGAGCTAAAAGCATGACACTGTTTTTGCATGATTACACATGGAAGCACTGGTGGATTTGAACTGAGCTCAGGTCTAGCCCTTTTTTTCACATTCAGCTTGTAGTTAAAGCATTTCACTTCCAGGTACTTTCTGGGTTAAAAAAAATAAAAAGGGTTTTATTAAAGCTTGTGCAGGAGCTTAGCTTGCATTGACTTGGCAGTTTGGATGCTGTCACATTGGGTATGTTTCCTTTCATGCTTTGGAGGAAGGAGAGGAAATTTGGAGCCCTTGAATGTGCCTTGCCTCAGCCCTTTTTGCAGAGGTCTTGTACAGTTCTCGAGCGCAGGCACTGGGTTAGGCCCAGTCTTTTATAAAGAGACTGTTCTACAGCCAGTCCAAAGCTATTGATGAGTCTCCTTTTCTATGCTCAGTTGAGACTGTTTCTGACCTCCAAAAAGCACTGTTGGAAACACCACTTCATGCCAGTATTTTTAGTTGACAGTTCCCGTGAATGAAATAAATCACAAGCTGAAATTCATCCCTTGAAGTTGCAGGTCACCTTCAGTAGTACATAGCCTGCTGCAACTGAGCTTCTCCACCAGTGGATTAATGTTTGAATACCGTTATCCTAGTAACCGTGGCAAGTGGCAGCACATGTTAGCCAGCAAGAGTTCAGTCTCACAGTCACACACTGGAAAAGAGCATGAGATGTGTCTGCAAGAGTCATCCAGGATATGTGGCTCTCCTGCTCCGTGTTAATCCGAGACAGACCGTGAAGGTGTGCTAATTGTGTCATGTAGAAAAAGCCAGCAGGGAATATGCATTTGCTGTTAAAACCAGGATTAAAACTGGTCAGTCTGATTTTTCACAGTAAGGCAGCTAAGAATTAAGCCCTGAAAGGCCTTTTAGGAAAGTTGTGAAGGACTTTTTATCAGTTGCTCTCCAGGCTTTACTTTCACTGATGGTTATGCAGCAGAAATGTATACTGCAGTCACTTGAGAATGCTGCATTAAAAAATTGTCATCAATATACTTCTATCCATGAGTTCTGCGTATGCTATTAAATTGCCTAAAATGTAGTCTTTTTTATGAAACTGCTTAGGGCTAAATTAAACTCAGCACTCCTTATGTCTCTAGGACCTATAAAACAAACAAAAAAAGGATGTTGGATAATGCTGAAAGAAAAATAAATTTATATATGTGCCTTTAAAGCAAAAATTATCCCCAAATGCTGTTTTTCTTCTTAACTAAAATTGGAAAAATATTAGTACTTATTCAGAGAAAAAGGAAAGAAAAGACTTGGGAAAGTCATTGAAATACAACCTGATAAGTTTTGTTTCAAAACATGTTTGGTTTTTTTTTAAATACTAAGAAATAGTAATTTCCAAGCATAAATTGTACTTAAAACTACATGGACTGAAGTGAAAAATTATGTTTGGTTGCTGAGCACAAAGCACTGTCATAGAGTCTGAAATGTGTGCCTAGGGCTCTGAGTTGGTGTGCAGCTTGGGGCAAATCATTTAATCTCTTGGAGACTCAAACTTTCTCAGCCACAAGTTGAGAACAAGGGTGATTCTCTAAGATCCTTTGGTATTTCCCCCACATGTCTTTTTCAGTTGCCCGAAGAATGACAAGGTTCTTGTTCTTGCTAAGCAAAATATAGTAGGACTGTGGTTCCCTAGTAAATCAGCCACCCTCTGCTGTGATCTGTTGTCCCTTTTTTCCCACCAGCCTTTGTATGGGCACACTCAGGCAGTGACCTGCCTTGCTGCATCTGTGACCTACAGCATCTTTGTGAGTGGATCCGATGACAGAACCTGCATCATTTGGGACCTGAACCAGCTGACGTATATAAACCAGCTTCCTGCCCATGGGGCAAGTCTCTGTTCTGTTGCCATCAACGATTCAACAGTAAGATCTTCATTTATCATCTTTCTTCTGATGTATCCATGAACATTTCATGATAATTTAATGGGTGCTCTTCCCAACATAAAAACATCCTGAGTCTGATACATTGATTTTTTTTTTCTCTCTACAGAGGTTGCTAATAGTGTTCTTAATGATGAGAGGCGAGCACTAAAAGCAACATCTTAGACTAAGTAGCTTAGTAGAAGCATCTTTGGATGAGTAGATAACAGGATTAAACAACTTTCAGTTTACAGAGCATGAAGTATTACCCTCGTAGCTCCTGGATTTGGCTCACCCATAACCTTACTGCCTCCATTATTTCATTAATTTCTCCTGACATTCATGCAGCAGAGCCATGTCAGCTGAGACATGTCAGACCTCAGTCTGTCACCTTAGCTGACAACTTCCTTAAACCTTTACAGTGACAGTGTTTGCTCTTTGCTTTCCCTTCTACTCTCAGGTGTGGGAGGTGCTCTTGATAGCAGTCAGATGGTTATTAATTGAGGGTGGGAATTAAGTAGTCTGCTCAGTGCCAGCTCCCAGCCTGGGAGTCCTGGATAGTGTAAAATGGCCAGTGGCTTCAGTAGGCCGGTTCAGAATACCCTGGTGGTCCCTTATAAAGTCAGCTGAAGCAGTACCAAGCATTCAGAAATGAGTGAGTGGGCTGGCACAGACCACGGGTTTGAGGCCCCAAGAAGATGGAGTCTTCTCCTTTCCTAGGTACCAGCTCACCATTGACAGGAGCCTTTTTAGTTGGCTCCTTTCCTGGAGCTCCTTTTCTGGAGCTGTCAAAAAAACGAGATGGTCTGTGCCAGGAACAACCTGGTGATTTATTCAGGAGCAGTTCTCCAGCTTATTGGAGTGCAAATGGTTAAACTGCTTGGACAAGAGTCTGCAGAAAGGTTATTTTAAAGATGAAAAACCTTAGGAAAGTATGACTGAAACTTCAAGGGAAAAAAGATTAGGGGATCCATGTATTGTGGATGAAAAAATTGGTTTTGACATTAGCAGAAGAGGATGTGTAATTCTGAAATACGTTTTTATTTAGATTTTCTATATATATTTATATATTATAACATAAGGATATAATAAAAATATTAAAGATAAAGATATTTCAATTGTGCTAAATTAAATACTTTGATTGACACAAAATCACATGTTTGGTAACAAGTTTTTTTTCCTGGAAAATTCAGAATAGTTTGAAAATAAAGTTTTGAAGGAAACAGGTTTTGGAACCACATACTCTGGTATTAGAACCCTATACAGCTCTTTATTCTGTGATTGTTGTTTTTTTATGTGATTGTTTTTTATATTTGCTTGAGCATCTAGAATCTCCATTTATAGATCCAAACCTCATAGTATTTTTATCACATAGACACAAATTTAAAAAGCTGTCCCAAAAAGTCTGTAAGCCAAAAGCTTGCTGTAACTAAGGATTTCAGTTGGTTTAAATCCCTGGTCTAGACCTAGATAGCACTGTAGATTATTACCAAATTCCTGAACATTATGTATTCTCATGCAGATAAGGTAGCTGAAATTTAGTCTCTTTAATTGTTGGCAACTCTGTTTCAAATGTGCTATTTGAATTCTGCCCTGCAGTATGAAGAGGCCTGGCCCCAAATGAGGCAGGGCTGAAGTACAGCATTAGCTGCTTTAAAACAGATGTATACTGCTAATTTAAGGGCACACTGGCCATTGCCAGAATCAGATGACTTTGCTTATTCTCTTTGCTGACTATTTAGCTTGTTCTTGGTATGCATCAAAGGTGGAAAGGTTATGTGGAATTTCAATTTGTAACTTGATTGAAATGCTTTTGATAAGATAATTTATAATTGCAGCATGGGCTATTGGTTCTGTGTGTTTCCTGTCCCTAAGGGATTACCTGTGTATTTGCTCTTTATGTGACTTGCACCTGCACAAAAGGGAGGTGAGAAATTCAGTTGCAAAGGATGGTCTCTGGATCAGAACTGCAACTCACTGAATGCTGAGCTGGCCGTTGGTCAAATGCAAAACGCAGTCTAAAAATGCGATGACATTAAGCTCCCTGTGAGGGGCAGAGGAGGATTGTGAAATCACCAAAGGCTTTGCAGCTAAGCAGGTGAACAGTGTGTCCATATTGAAAAGAATGCTTATTTGTAAAACTTAGAGTGCTAGTCCTGGCCCTGAACATGTGCCAGGCAGTGCCTGTCCCTGACAGTAGTGAGGTGAGTCTCTCAGTCTGCTTTTTCACTAAAAGCCTGGATTTTCTGGAAAACAGAAAGAGAACGCTTAAAGAAATGTTTTAATTTAAAAAATGAAAAACCTACTTTGTTTCTGCCTTATCTTGCTAAATCTGAGACCGTTGTATTGAGTTTCTAGGATGGAAAAACGCCAGGATTTTTCACGAGAAAAAAAGTGTCATTTTTACTTTCTCTGGTTTAAATCATCTGCTCAGAAGCAAAACAAAGGTCAGAATTTAAGTCAGAGCAACTCTGTAAATTATAATCAGCATTTAAGAATTGTGAGGAGAATGAGTGCAAGATTTTGAAACATTGCTTCTTGCTTCGTTATAGGGTGATATTATCTCTTGTGCTGGATCTTACCTATATCTGTGGACAGTCAATGGCCAGCTTCTTGCAAGCATTAACACCACCTGCAGCCCTGAAAACCATATTGTTTGCTGCTGCGTTGCTGAAGTGATGGACTGGGACACACGCAGCATCATCATCACAGGAAGCACAGATGGAATTGTGAGGGTAGGTGGATGGGGGAGAGGGTGGATGGTGGAAGCTGAAAATTAGAGTAAAATTTTCCTTCCTATCAACTTTTATCATCCTGAATGGAGGAGTCTTTGCCATTCAGGAAGAGTTTTGAAAATGTACTTTCCATTCTGGTGTGGCTTTAAAAGCAGAAACCCATTGGAAATATGTTTGAGTCTGGGTTTTGAGAGTTGGTTCACACCTCAGTTTATTAAGTCGTACTTTCTCAGGAGCAGGAATTCACTGCTGGTTCCACCTTCAGTCTGGTGGGAGAGCTTCCTGGGTTACTGAGATCCTCATTAGTGTGTCAGCATCACAACCCCACCAGCTCCCTGCATACGTTTCTCCAGTGTGATGCCTCGCAGCACAGTGGCAGAGGGAGAGTCGACCGTGAAATACTGTTCTCATGTTAGAAGTCCAGTTTCAACCCCTTGCTGGGAAGCAGGCAGCCATATCTCTCTCTCCTTGCGTTGTTATAATCCATGCTTTTTCCATTTTTACCTCCTTGCTGTCACAGCTGTGGAAGACTGAATACACCAATACCCCAGATCAAGCTGCTGGACTGAGACGGCAGAGAGGCACAGTGGAAGAGCCAGAAAACACAGGTATGACCGCAGGGTGGGCTGTGAACTGCAGTGTGACTGTGTGCTGCAGACCTTGTTCAGTTATAAGGAAGAAGAGGGTGTGTGAGCACAGTGGTGTGAAGGGGAGATGGTGCAGTGTTACTGTAACCAGCAGCAGAAATAGTGGGTAGCCACTGCCAAACACTAGAGACAGAAACCACCACTGAGCCACCAGTCTCAAGGGCATCCTGCCTGGGTGAAGCTGAAAGCTTCTTTGTAGGCTCTGTCACAAGTTCTCTCAAACTTGATAGATCACCTTTCTGCATAGACCTATGGAACTAGTGAACTGCTCTGGTTCCAGAAAGCCCATTCCCTTGGCACCTCTGCTGATGATCTGTACTAAAGTATCCTGGCATAATGTCAGAGTGGGCAGTGCCAGATCCTGCCTGAGATAGAACAGGAAAGTTTGCTGTCTTTGACACCTTCAGTGAGGTCAGAGGCCCTCCAGACTGGTGGGAGGCCACCAGCAGGCCCTAGTGCATGGAGCTGTTTATTCAAGGCTGTGCCAAACTGAAGCTGATACCCTGGAGTTCTCACAGAGCTGAGGTTAATAAGATGATGGGGCTACAGTGCTGACTGGTATTAAAAGCAAACTCAAGCTCACTTCTCTGTTCTAACAAATACAGAAGCTGAAACCTGTCAGGGAGCTTTAAAGGCACATCCTAAATAGCACAGCTTGCTTCCCTTTGCAGCACATTTTATGAGAGAAAGGAATTGTGGTGTTAGTATGTATAATTTACACCACTTACTTGCAGTGATCCTCATTACAGACATTCTCTATGACTTCGGTTTTACACACAGAATTTGCATAAATGGAGAGCTCAAGATGTAATATCTGCATAAAAGATATTATACAGTAATTGGGCATTACCACTTCAGAAGTGCTGTTCATGTAACTTGGCACCGTTACTTAGATTGCTATTTGAAAATATGTATATATACAGAGGCATATTGGAAATGGCAAACCAGATGCTCTTCCTATCTTTTGTCATGTCTTTGTGAGTAGCTAGAGCCAGCTGCTTCTAAGGAAGGTGCGAGAACATCAGAGATGCCAGATGTGAAATGGTCTGGCTGTAGTAGCTACGTATTTGGTTTCATTGTGATCTCTAATCAGATTGCTGTAAATTAAAGCAAAAGACTTAACATTCCTTCCAAAATCCCTGTAGCATTATGTAGTCATTTTGCAGATTCTTTTAACGTGTACAAACATCCAATTTGTTTTAAGAATTTCCTAAATTCTTGCCCATAACTACCTGTGGCGTTTATTTCCATGTGCGGCCTACTCAGGTACGGCTGCATAGAAATGTCTTTGAGCAAACTGAGATTTTGGCTAGTTTTAAAATGTATATTTTAAACAGTTCTCCAGACTAGGACTCAAAAGCTGCTGATGGGACCACAGCAGAATATTCCTGTTTGTGCCTTTTTCAGAGAGGTTCATAAAAGACAACAAACATTGACCAGGCATCTGGTGGTGTGTAGACACACATGAGCATAATGGTGCATGTTCTCCAATGCATACAGAGAGAGTGTTCTTTATTAAAAAGTTGAGAGGTGTAATCAAAGCAGTGACATGCTCCCTAAAACTATTCAGACTTCAGAATTATTTTAAATGGCCAAATATTCCCACATCTCATTCCACGCATTAAAGAAAATAAAATTAATACAGAACACAGTCATTAAAAAGACCAAAGTAACTATGATTGAGTTACGTTGTTAGAGGTGTGTGTATGTATGTGTGTGTATGTGAAATGTTCTCAGCATTTAATTATTGGTTCTGTTATGAGCAGATTTAGATAAGTTGATAATACCGGGGCTTTATGTAATTTCGTTTTTACTAGGCAATTATGGGCTGTATTATATGCTGGCAGCAAGGTATTGTGGGGCATCTTATTAAGCATAGAGCCAGTGAAAACTGATGAACAATTTTGCTGAACTAGGCATGCAATTTAGAAAGCAATAATACACAAATCCAATTTAGCACACAATTGATACAGCCGCACGTCAGCACATGTAACTATCATACCCACAAATTAAATTGGGATGGGCCTATTTTGCAGAGCACAGGCTGAGATTAAATATATTTGTTCTCAACTTAACAACTTGCTGACCGTAAATAATAACAAACCCATCCATGCTGCCCCCAGACACTTTCTAAATATTTATTTTTAAACCACACAACAGGTAACAAGTGTGGAAAACATCTTGTTCTCTGTCGGGAGCTGAATCCAAGCCTTGCCTTGACTGGAAAACCGAGTAAGACGAGCCCAGCAGTGACAGCGCTGGCTGTATCCAGGTACTGTTATTCCCCTTGCATTGCAGCCGGTGTCCAGCAGAGGACACCACACCAGCCTCGGGGTCTCCACCAGCCTGTCCTAAATGGGCAGTTTAGTTTATTTTATTGTGTTTTTTGTGTTTTGCATTGTTTGGGTTCATTTGTTTTTGTTTTAAATCTCAATTGAATCACTGTGTCTTAGCCAGTCACTCTGGGAGCTGGCTTGGTTAACTGTATTAAGTGAAGGATGTCAGGATAGTCAATGGTTTGACAGGAGACAGTCCAGGAGAAATAGTGTCTTTCAGCCAGAATAGTTGTAGAGATCTACAGATCCAGAGATTTGATTCTGGAGCGTGTTCAGAGAAGAGCCACAAGGATGGTGAGGGCTCTGGAGAACAAGCCTGATGAGGAGCGGCTGAGGGAACTGGGCTTGTTTAGCCTGGAGAAGAGAAGGCTGAGGGGAGACCTCATCACCACCTACAACTGCCTCAAGGGAGGTTGTAGAGAGGTGGGTGCTGGTCTCTTGTCCCAGGTGATGGGGGATAGAACAAGGGGAAACGGCACCAAGCTGTGCCAAGGGAGGTTCAGGTTAGAGATAAGGAGGAAGTTCTTTACTGAGAGGGTCGTCAGAAGCTGGAACAGGCTGCCCAGGGAGGTGGTGGAGTCGCCATCCCTGGATGTGTTTAAAGAGCGGGCAGATGAGGTACTTAAGGATATGGTTTAGTGGGTAGACAGGAATGGTTGGACGTGATGATCTCGGAGGTCTTTTCCAACCGAGCGATTCTGTGTGTATCAGTAGCTGCTACACTGTCTCTGCACTGTAGAAAAACCACTCTCCTAGAAGTCACTGGAGATGCATTGTAAATAGGAAGTTTTTTGTCCAAAAACCAACTTTGTTGTTAAACTCCACGTAGTTTGCACAGCCAGCAATATTTTAGTTTACTCAGTCCGCCACCTGCAGTTTCATCTGGCTGCAATATTTGTTTTTATCTGCTACCCAGGATGTTATGATCTACTGTGAAACAGTGGCTGTCTTTCTTTCCAGAAGTGTTGGCATTTTGATGGTTACTAAAATTATTCTTATATGCTACACGGTCAGATTTAGAGCGCTTTGTGAGCATGGTGTTTGTATACATCGAGAGTGGGAAAGTTGTGGGGGGAGTGTTAGTTTCATTAGTGTTGGTGGCACTGCATGCAGCAGAGATGTCAGTGGCTGACGACACGGTACTATGTGCATAGAAGTCTGAATTTCTGCTGGCCAGATGCAATTATTTAACATTCATAGAGTCTCAGAGAAGTATAAGAGGTTCTGACCTGGCTCAGTTGTCCACAACTAACCCACTGAATTCTAGGGAAGTTTGTCTCCAATTCTAAGTTCTGTCTTTGAAGTACAAATATTTGTCTACTCAAGATCATTGTTCTTCAAATTTAACCTTAAAGATAACCTACTCTCCTGAATGTTGCATCCTCGTAATTGCTACGTATGCAGGAGAAAGCCTTGATCCTGTTTGCATCTTGTTCTTAAACATTTTTCTCTATTTCTTTCTTTCTCAAGAAATTCCTCCAAGATCCTAGTTGGTGATGACTGGGGAAGAGTCTGCTGCTGGTCTGTGGATGGGTAGGAAGAAATAGCCAAGAAGTCTTGTTCAAACTCTTGTTTCAGTCTTTTGGATGGAGAGAAAATTACCCTTCAGAGCATGAAAGAGTCAGAAGCTGGAAGTCTGTGGCTGGGGACTGAATCTCAGAGGAGCTGTTGAACTGACCCTGCAGTCAGCTCTGAAAATTAGAGAATAAACTCCTAAGTTGTGAAAGAGATACTGAGAGACATGCACATAGATAACAAGGTTTTGCAGTATTTGTCCTGGGAAAACATTTGTATTATAAACGTTATGTTAGATACTGAATTTGACATAATACATTGTATTTCACAAATAATAGCTAGCAAATAAAACTGCCTTGACTATGCCAAAGAGCAATATAGCTTAATAAAATTAACATATTCTAATTTCAATACCATGAGATCAGAAAATACTGAGGCTTCCAACAGATGTTAAGGGAGTTTTTTGCAGTATCTTTGTTCTTACTAATGTTCAAGTATGTTAATATCTCTATTCCTACTCTTCCTCCTTCCCTGAATTTTCATGAAAATGTAGGTCTGCCTTCTGAAGAGCCATTTTGTTTGCACAGTGCAGGTAGTAATTCCCAGGTTGACAATGAGGCCTTTATCCAGCCCCTTTGTGAGCCTCTGTTACGATGCAATCTTCAGTTTTCTAATCTCTGAGTTTTTTGGTTTTTTTTCATTGTGAGGAAGCCAGGGAAAATGCATGGAATGGGTGAGGATGAAGATCTGACACAGCCACTCAACATATTCTTTCATTCTCCCTCCTTCACTGCCTTCTTTCCTTGCCTTGTTCTCTGGAATATCAGTAGATGAGACATGCTTCAGGATTTACCTTCACACCTGCATGGTAGAAGTGAATATTTGTAGTATCAGAATCACAGAATGTTAGGAGTTGGAAGGGACCTCAAAAGCTCATCCAGTCCAACCCCTGCCAGAGCAGGATCACCAGACCAGGTCACACAGGAACACGTCCAGGTGGGTTTTGAATGTCTGCAGAGAAGGAGACTCCACAACCTCTCTGGGCAGCCTGGGCCATGCTCTGTCACCTTCACAGTGAAAAAGTTTTTCCTTATGTTCAGATTGAACCTC